CAGGCACAGAAACTTCAGAATGGGTCATAAACACCCCCAGGGAAGTCTTAAATAACTTCAAACAGTCGCAAGTTGAGGACTACCTGTAGTTAAGAATCCATCTTTTGGTAGTAGTGATAGTCCGTTCCATTTCCATCCTTGGTATAATCTCCCTTTGACTCATCAGTCCCTCCAAATCTCTCAAAACAGCTACCTCTTAGTTAAAATTGAAAATGCATGTGTTCAACTACATTCTGAACCCACAGTAGTTTCTGGGTGATTTTCAAGAGTATATCAATTTGTATAAAATAAATTACAGTAGTGCCATCACAAAATGACAAAAAGATGAATAACTGTTGTCAGTGACTTCTATTCTGAGAACAGCTGCAACTGGTACATCAGCCAGAACTGGATAAAGGCAGTCATGGCCATAACTTTTATTAGATGTTTCATTAAGAGCTGTAAATCATTGATCGGAATTGGTTGTTCAGGCAAAGCTACTTTTGCTACCCTTTGGGGGAAGACTAAAGCAAAGGGGGAATCAAAATTATTGATTACTCCACTCTTTCTTCTACCGTCAATTCTCCAAGTGAATGATGGAAAGATGCTTGCTACAAATCAGTACATACAAGCATTTGTACATGCTGTTTGTCATTGTATGCCACATTAGCAGTTATAGTGTAATCTGTTAGATGATACTAGGCATAATAGAGCAATGTGAAATATGGTCATAAATAAGATTGATCAGTGCAGTTTCTATCCCCATCCCCCACCTTACTGAAAAGGATTTAGGTAATATGTTTCTTCCAGAGCTCTTTGTAATTGCACCCTGTCACTTAACAATCTTCCACAAAAGAGGTCACTCAGAGGCAATTTTGTTAAAGTTTTTTGTGCCTCCCTTTTGCAGAAGTCAACAAGGCTCTGAAATGAATCACATCCTGGACTGGGGGAACTCCTAAAATAGTCCTGGAGTCCATTGGGATTGATAAAATGCCTAAGCTGACCCATTTGAATCGACTCTAGTAATCATCAATCTCCCTGTGAATAAGCCCTATTCTTTTGTATCAAGGCTTATGCAATAGTTCAGGGCTACAAATGGATACAAGTCAGCCAGTACTTAATAACTTAAGTGTATTATCCAATCAGGACTTTTGGCTTATATGTTTCAAAAATAGAGACACACGTCCCAAGATGGAGTTTTTGTATATTCATGTATGTATAAAGAAATTGTTCGCAATATTTAAGAGGTAAAATATATTCTAGCTTATTCGTTGCATGATAACATTTTTAGAAAAAAAATAAACCAATGAAAGGAAAGTTCTCCAGAACACAAGGTTTTTACTTTGGTTTTAGAAATTAAAAAAGTAAAATAAAGATATCTAATGCTTTTGCAAATGAGCTAGGTATATGAGGGAAATGTGTATTAGAAGAATGAACAAAAAGGTGTTTTTTTAAATCAACAGTGAACATTCTTAGATCTGAATGTACTTTCATGTTGAGTCAGCTTTCAGATTGATAAGAAATGTAGCAGTCAAACAATCAAAAGATATAGTCTACCATTCTTTCCCAAAGAGACAAACTCTTCTCCTTTATGCTGAAAAGAAAACTAGAAGCTTCACATTCTAATTTGGCTATATATAAATATTCTGTTTGAAAGTAGAGTACTCAGTGGATTTTTTTGTCTTGCTACTTTAACCTTCTTAATACATTTTTCTAATAGCAATAGCAATAGCATTTAGATACATACCACCTCCATAGTGATTTACAGAGCTCTGGGCAATTTACAATATAAGTATTATTTATATATTGCCCCCAGGAATCTGGGTCCTCATTTTACCAACTCAGAAGGATGGAAGGCTGAGTCATCCATGAGACCCATTAGGATCAAACTCAAGGCTATGAGCATAGTTTGCCTGCAATACTGCACTTTAACCACTGCGCTGTTAGGGCTATCCTAACCTTAATCTAATCAGAACATGTTTCTGAGTTAAATCTTGCTAGTTCCTGAGTTTAACAACTTCCAATTCAGACTGCTATTAGAAAGCTGACAATAATTTTGGCTAAGTCCTACTCCCTCTATTACAAAAACATCCTTGCTTCAAAATAACAACAACAACAACAATAATAATAATGTTGGAAGGGACCTTGGAAGTCATCTATTCCAACCCCCTGCTCAGGCAGAAAACTGTATACCATTTCAGACAAATGGCTGTCCAGTCTCTTCTTAAAAACTTGATACTGAATGAGGATTGGACATTCATTTTCTGCCTTCCTCCTATTTTTAACTGATATAGTTGCTTTTTAAACACTAATCTAGAACCAAACTAGAACTAATCTAAACCAATCTAGAACTAAGTTAAACTTAGATCGTAGAACTAAGCTAAAAACAACCTAGAACTAATGAGAAATTTCCTGACAGTTAGAACAATTAATCAGTGGAACTACTTGCCTCCAGAAGTTTTGGGTACTCCAACATTGGAGGTTTTTAAGAAGAGATTGGACAACTGTTTGTCTGAAATCGTATAGGGTTTCCTGCTTGAGCAGTGGGTTGGACTAGAAGACCTTCAAGGTCCCTTCCAACTCTGTTATTCTGTTACTATCCTCCATTAGATTTAGGGAGAATGATCCTAAATTGGGCAAACTGCTTCACAGGGATAGCTGAAAACCCTCTTGCCTGCAAATGCTTCTCAAGAAAGGGAAAGTACTGTTGATGCATATCTTCTTGTTGTTCCAGACTACACTAAAGGTCAGAGTGACCTAAAGTCTAGTAAGTAAGTTTACTTTTGGTGTCAAAAATTCCCAGTGCTTCCGGCTCCCCAAAGCATTTGAAATTGTTTCCTTTGTGTTCAAGCTTCAGGCAAACTAAGGAGAGTTGGATAGATCATTGCTTCTGTTTAAATACATTCAATAATTTGGTTTTAGGGTTCATGCTTTCCATTGTACACAAAAGAAAATAATACACCAGTTTCTTAACTGTGAGTGAGGCAGGGCCGCAGGGGCAATATAGAAAGTTATTTTTATGAGTGCTGTGCTTGATCAAAAGTTTAAGACTATAAATATCATAGATGGAATGCACATATTGTTGTGCAACACTCTAGTTAATATTTTAAAGAAAGTTAATATTTTTTAAAGAAAGAACTTTCCTACATATTCATTGCCTTGGCATTCCAAACCAGTATAACCAACCAAGATTTCAGCATATGTGTAGACTCATGTAACAAAAATCATGTTTTAGTACACATGAGTCTTTGCCATAAGCTAAGATCTTCAGTTAGTTATTGTGTCAGCAAAATCATATTTATATTCATTTCCAAAATTCAGGCAACTAGTGGACATGTCAAAATAAACATTTTGGAGGATATCAAGTTAAGAGAAGCCCAGTCAAAACCCATGTTGAAATGTGAATCTTAGACTTCCTTCCTAAACTCATCAGAAAATCTAATTATATATTTTTATGTCTAAGTATGTGTTTTAAAATCACACCTTAACAATCCAAGGTTAAAAATGTTGGTCTAGACCAGGGCTAGGTAACCTTGGCTCTTTTATGACTCATGGACTTCAACTCCCAGAATTCCTGAGCATAGCTAACTCAGGAATTCTGGGAGTTGAAGTCCACGAGTCATAAAAGAACCAAGGTTGCCTACTCCTGGTCGAGACAGTTAAAAGCAGATAGATGTTCTCAAGTTAAATCGTATAGCTTTTTGAAAACTAAAATATGGGAAGTCATTGTTTAGCAACTGAGAGAGCAACTGAGTTATGAAAAAATACATTTGTGACCATCCTTGCATTTATGATCTTCACAAGTCTATAAAGCAAAGGAAAACTGAAATAAGATAATAAGCACAGTTGCAGTTTCACTTAATGACCATTTCACTTAACAATCAAATTTCCAATTGTGGTCAGTAAATAAGGACTATAGGTGTTGGAGACATAAAATTGTTTCTACTGTCATGTTTTATTACGGTTTTAGTGATAATAGTTTTGTTGAATCATTATTAAACTTTTTCTTCATTGGGCTCTTTCAGGATGAGAAATGTACAAAAGTGAAATAGTCAATGCAGGAGTAAATAGTAAATGCAGGAGACTTGTCCAACTATTCATCAGAGATCAGCACTAATTTGAAGACAGGAAGGAAGGAAGGAAGGAAGGAAGGAAGGAAGGAAGGAAGGAAGTTTATTGGAGGTAGAAAATGCAGTATGTTTTATAGCAAATACTTCTTTTTTAAAAAAAATAGTTTACAAAACTTCAGAAGGGAATTTTGTATTCTTTTCTGAGACTTGGTTAATACTGTAAAAAGCCTTTTTTGAGTATATTGAGAATTACCATGAAAAAGCCATGGCATTCAGATAAAAGTGGATTCTTGATTGTTTAGATGTGTGACAATAATGCTTTTTGCATTTAAAATTTCTCGGGCATTAATTCTGAACCATTGCCCCTTCTCCCAGTTTGCTAGTATGGTTTACTGATAACTCTTCTCTAGTCCTCAATAAATATTCAGTTTACCCTACTTACATTTAAAGCATTACTTCTTGTTATAAAAACCACAAATATTATTTTCTATTTTGCAGGTATAATCTTGAATTGAGTAGCCAATACCCGTATATAGATGTAGCTTTTTAAAAATATACCCACATGGTAGAAGTTCTACCTTGCAAACAACTTTTCTGAATTGGTTTCACAAGATTGCAGCATGGTGAAAATTTTCTAAATTTTGTGGGGAGTCACTACAAAAAAATAGTGTGGAATTTCCTCTGTTACATTCTATGTGGTTTATAACTCTGAGGTTCCTAGGATAGAACTGGGGTCTTACCAAATATTATAATAGAAAGTTGATGTAAATAAACATTTATTTATTACCCAAGTTTAGAGCACTTTTAATCTTAAAAACTTAATCTAAATACTTATTGATATATAATTTACCAGAATAGGTAGCCACAGGTCCTATGTGTAACCTTTTCTCTAGTCAGGATAAGGTATTGTGGTTCTGATGGAACTAACTATGTATTTCCTTTTTATTTCAGCTCAGATTGGGTGGAAATTATTGAACCCCGTTCTAGAGAACGAATGTATGTTAATTTGACAACTGGAGAATGTGGTTGGGATCCACCACCCAATCTCAGAGTTCGGCAATCTGATGAAAACCAGTGGTGGGAACTCTTTGATCAAAACAACAATCGCTTCTATTATTACAATGCCATCACTCAGCAGACTGTGTGGCACAGGCCCCAGGGCTGTGACATTGTGCCACTAGCTCGGCTCCAAGCCATGAAACGTAATTCCCAGTCTGAGTTCGGGACATCACAGCACAGGAACAGTACAAGTAGTGAGGGACAAAATACTCCTATCCAGATAACTCTTCTACAGGATATGGAGAAGAGTAAAGACAACATCGGTCTCGAGAAGAGGCCAGAAACTGAAAGGTAAATCATTTTTTAATTTCTCTGTTTCGTTTTTCTCTTTTTTATAGCTATAGAGGGAAGAGGGAAGCACATCCTTGTTTTAAAATGACACTCATAAGATGAAAAATACTTTTGGCTACTTAGTGTAAAAAACAAATAGATAAGTAGAGAGCCAGTTTGGTTTAGTGGTTAAGGCAGCAGGCTACAAAGAGGAAGTTCAAGTCCCACCTCATCCATGAAACCCAGTTGAATGACTTTGGGCCAGTCATTCTCTCTCAACCCATGATACCAGGCTGAGGCTACAAGCCAGTCAGCAGAAATATCAATGGAAGGGTTAATGAGTATCTGGTTTTTAAAAATTGGCCACCTGACAAAAAAATTTTTTTAGCAAATAACTTACTCTTCTTGATTAAAACAGTATTTGTAATTGAAATCACCCAAACTTCTCAGAGTTGCTGCTTGTCATAGGAGTGTAGGTACATAGAAACAAAACCACGAGTCACTCTTTTTTCCCAAGAAAAGAATGTTATAGCTAGCTCTTAGATGTCTCTATTCTCAAACAGAGAAGCATAATAAAATTGCGGTCTGAAACATTGGTAATTTCTTTTTCAAAAAATGTTTTTGGCTTTACTGAATTAAAAGTCAGCAGATATGTTAAAAAGATCTAAAAACATGCCAAGATTCCAGTAGCAGCTTTTGGACACATTGGGAAAAACAAAAAGAGGAATTTGGCCTATTATGCTTTGCAGAAAAAATTACTTTTTCACAAATCAAAACCAAAATAACCTTTCTGATATATCCTAATCCTCTCATCTTAATTTTTAACACATCTCATGTTATTTTTTTCCTCCACAACTATTTATTTTTTTAATACTGAAGATGTAAAATAAATGCCTTTATGGTAGTAGTCCCCAACCCCTGGTCTGTGGACCAGTACCAGGCCACAGCATGCCAGCAACTGGGCCTCAAAAAAACAAGCAAAGCGGGATGCAGGCAGCACACGAAACCATACCCTCTTTGGTCCACGGAAAAATCTTTCTCCACAGAACCCATCCCTGGTGCTCAAAAGGTTGGGGACCTCTGCTCTACAGTGTGTTTTTCCAATATTGTACTATAGCTAGCCTTGCCCAAATCCCTATGAATTGAACAGTTATCTTACCTCACTAAATAATGGCAGTAAACGTAAGTAAATTTTTCTATATCCATACTAGTAATCTCTCTAATCATTTCTGATCACAATCTTTGTACAACTTCACAGGACCACTGTGTGTGCATATAGGTGCCCTTTGCTTCACCACACTTTCAACATTTATTTGAGCCTTTCCCAGTAATTTTACTTACTTACAGGGGCATAGTACTACCTCTGAATAATTTTCCTGGCTTAGTAATTTCCCCTGCTGCTTGATCATAATGCTGGCTTCTTCCATTGTGTGTCTTCAATCTGATTCCTGTATTTCTTTCAGAGTTATTGTATGTTTTGAATATTAGATGTTTAGAGGACTTTGAAGGTTCTAACATAAGATTTTCAAAAGCTTTTAAAAGTTGCAATACTGTCATCTTACAAATTCAGTAAGTTTCTAATAAATAATATTAATGCCAGGAAAATAGAAATGACTTCATTGGCTAGCAGTGAATAAAGATACAGTCCAGCGATTCTCAATCTTCGTGTGACGGCGACCCCGTCACACAGACGCGGCGCGCATGCGCGGCGGCGCCCCCATGCGCGGCACGCATGCGCAGCACCGCCCCATGCATGGTGCGCATGCGCGGCGGTGCCCCGGGGGGAAATGGCGGATCGCGTTGTTTCGCGACCCCCGTAAAATGGTCGATCAACCCCAAATGGGGTCGCGACCCATAGGTTGAGAACCGCTGATATAGTCCAATGAATTTGAAGGGCACTAAATAAAATAAGCTTTTCCTGAAATCTATTTTCCTGATACCATTAGACTACTTGCAAAATGTTCATGAGATAAATCACCTTTTAACCCATATTTACATTTTTTAATTTGGTTATTTCAGGCATTGATTAAAATCTACAATGCTAATTCTTTCTAATAAATTAAAAATTCTTGAACGCAGCTGCTATGGACGAATTGTATTTTTCCTAAGGCTGAACTTTTAAGAAAGCTAAATGGCTGCATTGCCAAGACCAAAGATAATGATAGCTTACTTACAATCAGCTTTTTTATTGCCATTCCCTGTACGTGATTATAAGACATACTGTATTCTGTAAAAGTAATTTATATTTTCTTGTTTGGGAACTAGCCTTCCTTGAATGAGGAAGTAAACCTTTTTCAGAGATAAAGTACAGGAGCTAAATAACCATTATAATTGTTGATATTGTTGGCCAATATTGCATAGAACAGTTTTGTCAAGCATATATAATTACCATGTTGACTTGAAATATATGTTTATAGCTCTGTTGCATCTGGAGATAGATTAAAATAAAGATGGATAATAATGAAGTTAAAATAATATATTTCCACATTGCTGAAAAGGAAGGATTGATCTCTTCCCTTTGATAGTTCACAGAAACAGAAAACACTGTCATCTCATTGAAAATCAGCATAAGATCAGTCCTTGGTTCCAAAATCTTAATCATTAATCAATAGTTTGCAAAGTAAAAGGAAAATTTTTAGTGTGCTAGTGTATGACATATCTGGAAAAAAAAAATCCTGGAAACTACACAGAATTGTACAGGGGCATGTTGTTACATTTCATCAAAACATTTAGTAGCATGCATGTACTTATGATTGGTCATTTACTGACTGTTTGAAATTATAATAAAAATTGCTTACAACCGCATTCAATGTTCCAGTGTTGCCTTCCCTCTGTGATCATGTGACTGTATTTTGTGTGTTTAGCAACCAGCCCACATTTACTTACGGTTTCTGGAAAAAATTACCCCATAACAAATACTAGATTTGCTTAACGACACCATATTCATTTAATAACTGCCACAAAAAGGTTGTAAAATCAGATGTTTATGTCAACCGTAACTTATAACCATAATTGTGGGGCTTGATTGTGGTCATAAATCAAGGACTACCTGTATGTCACGTGGCTATGTATATTGTATATTCATATATGATTTTATATCAAGCCCATGTTAAAATTCCATAATGCTCAAATGTCACTCTTTATTTGGGACTCCTGAAAAAGCTAAATAAGGTCAGAGTTAATATAGGCAGCATCAGGAAATTTCAAAGCTATTGGAATTAGATTGGGAAGTTGAAATAACAGATCAGAAGAAAACAGTGGCAAACTGCTTCCATATTGTTTCTAGGAAAACAGTAGAATATATCCATTGTCATTACACTGATAATATTTGCAGCATGTAGCAAGTACTCCTGATTGGATTTCCCGGTTATAATGTTGAGCCTGGAACTGCATGATCTATTGCTTAAAGAAAAATAAACAGAACTATGTATTAAGATATTGATAAAGCACAACTGAGATAGAAGTACAAACAAAAATACTAGAAAGCCTTAATATGGAAGGTTCATATAATCCATTTGAACAGCTGTCTGTAACATTTTAACTATCCTCTGATAATGAACAAAGGCAGCTATTCAAAACTGATAGAGCACCTGTCTAATAATCATGCATAACACAAGCTCTTTTGCAGTATGTCTCGGGTTGGCACCTATGACACTGTTTTTCGAACAGAAAGCTGGCAAGGCCTAATAGAATGCAGATGCTGGCAGCACTACTTTCTGCTGTTAGTATTGGGATGCATCTGTTTTAACCTGTCAATTTGTTACATGAATAACTCTCCAATTACAACAACATGATAGGTTCAAAAAGCTAGTAGAGAGCAACTTCAATAGAGGAGGGGGAAAGTAGTGCTTAAAATAGAAAGATAAGCAGGCTGACAATGTTGTGCAAGTAAAGCTTGAAAATTGCCTTTATCCCAAGATTTTTGAGAGATGGAAACTCTAATATAGAAGCTCCCCCATATAAGATAACCAATACACTGCCTCCTGTGTACTTTATAATTTATTTTTATATGTGTTTATTAAGAACATCTATCACACAGCCGGTTAAAGAATCAGTAGCATGAAATGGATTGTAGAGATTAAAGTACAACTGCAAGCCAAAAATTGCAAGCATTTGGATAATTGGGTGACAGTTTGTAGAAATGCTGCAGAATCCTTTTTAACCTCAAAATATTTCCCACCTACCTTTTATATTTTCTTTTTCTCAGCACAAAACCTAGTGGAGTTTTGTCCAAAATTCAAGATGATATTTGTAACACATGCCTAATTCGTAATGAGGCACAACAGTGCCATCTAAAGTATCTGATAAATCATCTCATGCTGAAAAGCTCAAATAGAGGGAATTCATTTTTTTATTTTTCCCCAAAGCTTCTCCCATACAATTCCTTCTTATACTAGTCATGCTTATCATTTAACCATAGGATTGTTCAGCCACTAGATAATTTTCTGAAATGATGGTAAATCAGAGACAGAGCATTTTGCTTGATTGGGCAAAGTAGCAGTCATTTTCTAGAAAGAAGAGGACTTGCAGTTATCCTTCATATTCTAATGGCACCGAAGATACTACTTGGAGAAAGAAAAAAGGAAGACTTTCTTCTGAAATCCTTCATCTTAAGTACATACAGTAGATAATTACTCCAAATGGATGGATTTTATTTGAATTTTGTGTGTGTGTGGTGGTTAACTTTCTGTCTTATTTCTATTTTTTTTCCTTTTCTCAAATATACTTTTTATAGCTTAAGATTTATCTTAAAGTGGCTTAAAGATGTAATACTTTCTAGTATTTTGTCTGTATTTCTATATCATTGTGCTTTATCAATATCTTACTATATACTTATTTGACCAGCAACATAAAATAATAAAAAGGGAATAGAAGATAACAGATACAGTCAGGATCAACAAAAAGAAATGATTTTTAAAGTTACAGTTAAAAAGATAAAAATTAATAGAAACTAAAGAAAAAAGAAAAAATAGTGCATAGAAAAATATAAAAAAATAAAAATATACTAAAAGAAAAGGAAAAGAAATATAAAAAGAAATGACTTCCTCTTTATCACAACAAATATAAATAATTTTAGTAACTTTAGAACCTTGATCAAAGAAAGCAACTTTATACAGGTAGTCCATGACTTAACAACAGTTCATTTAATGACCATTTGAAATTACAAAGGCACTGAAAAAAAGTGAGTTATGACTGTTTTTCACATTTAATGAGCACCTCCATGGTCATGTGATCAAAATCCAGACACTTGGCAACTGACTCATCAATTGCAGTGTCCTGGGAACATGTGATCACCTTTTGTGACCTTCTGACAAGCAAAGTCAACGGGGAAGCCAGATTTTTTATTATAATAATAATAATAAAGTTGGAAGGGACCTTGGAGGTCATCGAGTCCAACCCCCTGCTCAGGCAGGAAACCCTGTACCAATTCGGACAAATGGCTGTCCAGTTTATTCTTAAAAACTTCCAGTGTTGGAGCATTCACTGCTTCTGGAGGCAGATTGTTCCATTGGTTAATTGTTCTAACTGTCAGGAAGTTTCTCCTTAGTTCTAGGTTGCTTCTCTCCTTGATTAGCTTCCATCTGTTGCTTCTCGTCCTGCCTTCAGGCGCCTTGGAGAATAGCTTGACTCCCTCTACTTTGTGGCAGCCCCTGAGATATTGGAACACTGCTATCATGTCTCCCCTCGTCCTTCTCTGTTACTAACTTAACTGCACTGGTTCACTTAACAACCGTGGCAAGAAAGATCGTAAAATGGTGCAAAACTCACTTAACAAATTCTCAGCAACAAAAATTTTGGGCTCAATTGTGGTCCTAAGTCAAGGACGACCTATATACCTTCCTTTTATTTTTAAAATCTTGATCTTTAATTTGTTCAAATAATGTCCTAGAGCTTGAGTCCCTTTCATTTTTTTCTTTGTTCCTTCTCACAAAATTCTTCAAAGCTTCAACAAGTCTCTTTTGTAAATCCAATACAGGAAAGTTATCCAGGTCGATCTTTTGGTCTGATATTTGTATTTCCCTTTTAATTATTAAGATATCAGCCAGTTTCATAGAAAAAAACCCAGAATTAGACTGAAAAAGAAATCTAAAACTGTTTAATGGATTAAAAGGCAATGCTGGTTTTATGGATTGTTTTAAGGATAATGATCTAGAGTTAGAAGTAAGAAAAACTCCATTATATACATGTGTGTTTAAATTAGTTAGATGATTTTTTTTTTTTTTTGCTTTATGGAAATTTGTTTGGTATAGAAATATGAAAGTTTAAATTGGAATGGAGAAAACAAAAACAAAAAAGAACTTTGGCTTTATGGATTGTATTAAGGATAAAAATATATAATCATATACATACATACATATATATACATACATACATACATACATATATATATATATTCTGGAATTGAAAAAACGTTTAGTTATGAGAATGGAACTTTGAAGTGCTTAAATTGATTAGGTGATTTTTGTGTATAACAATATGATCTGATAAGGTATGATAATTAACTGGATGGAATTTGAAGTTTGTGTAATGAATTGAAAGGAATTAAGGTTTAACATATTTTTTTCTCTTTTCTTAATTAAGTTAGTTATTATTGGAAGAAGAAATGAATGAGATTGGTGATAAAAAAGAGGGATGAGAGAAATTAAGAACTTTAATATATCTGGTAGAGATATTCAAAGTAGTAATTTGTTGATGTAAAACAATATTTGATTATGGTAATTGTAAATTGATAAAGTTTTCAAAACAGGTTGAGTAGTAATAGAAATCTAAGTTAGAAATGGAATATATTAAATTTATTATGTTATCTGTGGGAAATAGAGAGATGACAGTGTATTAAGTGGAGCGGTTTATCTATGTTTTTTTACTTTGGAATGTTTGTTTACCCAAACACCACAGTGTGTCTTAAGTACTTTTTGTTAAAATTAAAAAACCAATAAAATATATTTTTTTAAAAAAAGATATCAGCCAGTTTCCTTTGTATGTGCAGTATAGTATCTTTTACCATGTCATTCTTGCAGCTTGTCATTTTTAAATCTATTTTCAGATCAGTTTCAGACTTATTCCAGTAAAAATTATTCCTCTTCCACAATAGTTTTTAAACACAGTCTCTCTAAAGAGGCAGGCACTGTTAAATTAACGTCTGAGTCTATTGTTCAAAAATATCATTCAGTATGTCCATTGTTAAGATATTTTGCCCTGTATTAGTAAATAAAGTGTTCTTTACTTGTAATCTTCAGGGGTTGTTTTTTTTTATTCCTTCTAGTGTCAATCCTTCAGTCTCATTGTATCATGTTTTTTAAGAGAATTCAAAACAAAAGCATTTTCCCATGAAAAGCATTTTTATAATTAATTCCAAAATCTTATTTCAAATCCATCTGGACATGTCTGCTTGTAACTTTCCAACATTAAGGTTCTTATCACCCTTGTGCTATTTATTCCAAAATAATTTTTAAAACTACTTAAATTTGTATTTAAAATTTATTTCACTAAAGATTGAATAAACTCACTCAGTGCTGTAATTTCATTTACCCAGAAAAGAAATATGCACATGGAAAAATCTAGCCAATGTAAAATATTCTGAACAGGTATTATTTCTCAAATTTCTCATATTTTTGTGATAGCTGTGACAGAAAATAGAAAATATTTTTGCAATGTAAATAGTGAAATTCCCTGCCTTTGTCCCAAGATATAAATAGCTTCAAACTTTTGAGCATTTTATAGGCTGACAAAAGCAATATTTTGTGTGTGTGTGTGTGTGTGTGTGTGTGTATTTTATTTTTTAACATTATATTTTTTTCCTCAGAGATACCCTTACAGGTTGGCAGCCTTTGCCAGGGACTAAAGCAGCCATGCTGGTCAAAGTTAATAGCCTAAGACAAGTAAATTCTTCCTCAAGCAATTCTTTTCAGATGCAAAACAATTCAGAAATCAACAGCCAGGAATCAATGAATCCCAAAACAGTTGTATATGCTCAGTCTCAGTCTATGGTCCCAAACTCATTAACTCCGAAATCTACAGCTCCAGTAGAGATGAAGCGTTCCATGAAAATTAAAAAGACAGAGAACGGAGGATTTTGTCTGGTATTAACTAATGGGCATACTCCTCAGCCTCCCTCAGGAAATCAGTTACAAAAATTGCCTGCATGTCCCAAATATGCTTCTCCGCCTCCAGTATATGATGAACCATCAATTGACTCCCCAATTTATGATGAACCTCCTATAGATATGGACATTAGAGTCACAAATATGAATGGGACAACTCCACAATTGTCTCCAAGCAATAGCTTGAATAAGAAGATGCAGCCAATTAAATTATTACAGCCTCCAAGTATACAGCAACACCAGGGTGGAAAAAAGCATTTGAGAAACCCTTCTGCAACAGAATATAGCCCTGTGGGAAAAGAATACATTAAACACATGGTCAACATTGACCAGTCATCCAAAAAAACTCATTCTACCACCATGATAATTGATGGCATCGATAAATCCCAATTGGGTCAGCTTAGCTCTAGGGAGAGCTTCAAGCAGTCTTGGAAAGTCGTAGAAGCTAATGTTCTTAAAAATATGGAAGTCCATAATAGCCGGCAGAGCAGTCTTCAGGCTCAAGAATATCCCACAGTGATAAGTCAGCAAGACTCTGGCTATTCAACAGGTCCTTCTCCAAGTTTAAGAAAGAGAAAAGGAAGACGACATGCTCCAGGCCTGGGAAGACCTGGTTCTGTAGGCAGCAATAGCGAACTTACTGTGCTGAATGACAAGCTTATTGCAGAAATGCGTGAAGTGGTGAATAGATCTGCTGCCTACAGGGGGAGCAAAGGTAGTTTAGATGCAGAAATGCTAGACAACACAAGTATGCCAGAGGGTAATAAAATTAAGTTTCAATCAGACTATTTTAAAAAGTGTAACAGCAGGAACTCAAGAGATGATCTTACATCTAGTAACAGGTCATTATATAGGCCTACAATGGAGGGTAAAGGCAGCCTCTCAAATGATCCAGCAATACAGCAAGATGTGGTGAGACAGAAGAGAACTTATGAAAAAATAGATTCTTTAGAAAAGAATGTGTCCAGCCTGATAAACCCATCATCATCAGACACAGCACAATTATCAACACAGGTATTTATTAATATGACACAATTTTAATCATAATCATGATAGAGTATTTATTTATTGTCAGGAGGTCAGGCATTTTCTAGCCCTGGAGATTTTGAAATCTTCAGGTATACACTTAAAATTATAACTTTTAACTTAATTTATAATTAAAACACGTTTGCATGCTTTATACTATGCTGGGAGTCAAAAATTAATCTGTACCACTAGGTCATTATACAAGTTATATGGGTTTAATGCTATGGTTAAAAGCATTGCTTCTTTTGTTTAATAGTTAACTATTAATGTGAAGTTTTACTAAAATTGCTAAGTTTTATTCAATAATAATATTCCTGGGTTAAATACAATATACCACAATTAAGTCAAGGTTTCACTTGAAAATGTAGATGGTCAAGACAAAACTAGCATTTTTCTCTACAAGAGAGAGAGAGAGAGCATAAGAAAAATGTTTATGCTGTAATTGTAAACATTTTATGCCAAATTATTGCCCTACATAGAATATTATTAATTTTGGTATATTTTTGCAAGAATGACAATTTTCTTATATTTTTCTAGGCATAATACATTAAATATTATTAAATAAATTAAATGAGGTTTCTAATAATCTTATTGAAAAATGCCCGTACTCAAAATTGGTATTGGTTGCATATATGGGATTGTTCATACAGTAGTGCTGTCAGATAAAGATAATCCTTGACTTATGACTGGTTACTTAGCAAGCATTTGAAGTTACAGTAGGACCTCCCCCCCTCCCCAAAAAAAGCTACTTACAACCCAGCAACCTCACAGTTATTTGTCCTTATGACCAATGGCAGGGATGTTCAGCACCCTCGTCCCCCACCTATCTCCCAAAACCACTCTATATCACCGAGTTACTCAGACCTTGACTTACTTCCCCCTCAGCCACCTGGGGAGCCTCAGGCCAGGCGCAGATGCTACAAATTTGTGCAAAGGTGCTGCAACTTGCAGAACTTAAGCTTGCTTCCCACCCAGCCACTCTGGGACTTGTGGGACTCAGTTTGCTTCTCAGCCTGCTCAGGGCCCAGTAGCACCCAACTTACCATTCTGTTTTTTGCAGCTTTTGGAAGAAGCACCCTGCTGATGCAAGGCTCAGCTTTCCTCCTCATGATAGCCTCATGCTATTCTGCAAGCAGGTGTGATTCTTGTGATATTTTGGAAACTCTGTTTTTAAAGAGGCTCCATTTTTAAGGTGACTCCATTTTAAGGTTGAGAGCTAAAAATCAAATAAAGTAATTAAACAATATAAATGTTGCTAAGGCAACTTAATATGAAGAGATAGTACTGAAAAACTACAACAGAGGAATTCCTTATGGCCAAGTCCTGTGTCTCATCATTTTTGCAATAACTAATTTGAGCCAACCTACAACAATATGAGGAGGTTTTTGCCTTATAGCAATATCAGGATCCATCCTATTGCTCATTTATCAGCACCCAGAATTCCACAGTTCTCTTTTTGTCAGTTCAAATAAATAAATTCTACAAGCAGTAATACGGGAATTGAGTTGCATTCTTAGAATGAATAAAATAGAATAGTCTAATGTTAGCCTTATAGTTTTCTAGAATCAGATACTAGAGGTACCAGATGAAGAAAATGACCAAATTCAGCAATTTTTGTTCAAAGAAAATTATTAGCTCAGACACCTTTTCCATGATTTTTTTATCTGTTGTTTTTACAGTGCGGAACAATAGGGTCTCATTCTCATGAAGAGAACAACGTTCAATCTGGAACCAACGTTGGATATCAGTTTCCCTTCCACACCATACGAAAGCCCATCTCCCAAAGCAGCATGACTGACTGGGCTTCCAAAAATCTTAATATGCATACTCAGGGTATCTTTCGGCGGAGGCTCTCCATTGCCAACATGTTGTCTTGGAATGGTGGCTCCATCAAAAAGCCAATGCTTATCACCAGTAATGACACCATCAAAAAGGAAGCTTGTGAAATATTTAAACTGATACAAATCTATATGGGTGACCGGCAAGCCAGAATGGACCGCAATAATGTGGCTTTGATAACCATCACCAAATGCTGGAGTATTCAAGGTTTACGGGATGAACTATACATTCAGCTAATCAGACAAACAACAGACAATATGTGCTACCAAAGTCTGGCACGGGGCTGGGAACTTATGGCAATTAGTCTCGCCTTTTTCTCCCCATCACCCAAATTTCAATCTTACTTGGAAGGTTACATCTATCGTCACCTCAGCCAAATTGCAGATGAAAATAGTAAGTGCTTTATTTAATAAAGTAAATTACAGTGTTTTAAACCCCTATAGATAAAATAAAGTAAATTATAATAGGGGTAAGTTACCATAATACAATGCAGAGCATATTAGTAAAGGTACTCAGGACCAAAGCTTGCTTTCTTTCCTATAAAATGAAATGCAGTATTTGTTGCCCAAGAACCTGGCTTCTTTGGCCTAGGCAAAATGAAAAGAAAATTCCTTGTAATGTTCAGTGAGCTTATTGCTGTTTAGATTTAATTGTAGAGATTCAGTTTCATTAAAACAAAAAATGTTTAATCTATAAAAGAATAACATTTTTGATAATGTTCCAAGAAATTATAAAGCTCCCACGAAAATCCTTGATTGATTGATTGATGTAATTAATTAATATAGTCACACTCGCATATGACTAGGCAGCGTACACAATTAAAACAAAAAGTAAATCAACATAATTCAACTATTAAAACTATTTATTAACATTAAATTATGGCATATATAAAAGTGCACTTGGATCAAATTTAATTGCTAGTAACCATAGGAAAGTTTTCTTGACAACAGTATGGAAGTTAATTGCCCTTGCCTTCTTCCAGGAAGTTTTTTCTACTGCCTAATCTAGTTTACAGTCCCTGGAACTGCTTGGTAATCTCCCACCCAAGACCTAAGAGGCCTAATCTTGTTTAGTTTTTGAGATCAGACAAAATTGTTTACCCATCTAGGCAAATATAATTAATTGTCATATGTTTAAAGTTTTAGGCTGAATGCTGGAAAAAATGGATGTTCATACAAGGAAGTTTTTTTCATTCTTTGGTATTCTGAGGTTTACAGAAAGCAAATAATTAGAAGTCTCTTTTTATATCCCTGGATTCTGATAGCATAAAGCCCAGATAGAACACAATTCATACTGGTTTGAAAAGTTTGGGGAAACAAATATTTCAGATATTCTTAGACAAAATAATAATTTGAGAAAACATTTTAAATTCAAAAGTCATTCCGATTGTATACATTGTTCAAATAATTTGTGAGACATTAAGTTTTGGTCCTTAGACTCATGCTTCTGATTGTGATAAGCGTAAAGAAAAACAATAGATAGAGATGGGCAAAACATATTTCACAGGAAGGTGCACTTTGGATTTATTCAGGGAAGCGATGCTGTGAAGAGGACAGTGAATATTTGACTATCTTGCCATCACTCAATTAAAAATACTTTATATTTTCAGTCACTCAACGCATTAAGGAACTTCTGGATCTGAAAAACAAAAAGAGCTCAAAATCCAGGAAAAAGAGAAAACAAAGCACAGAGGATGAAGGTAAAACATAAGAAAATAAAAATCAACATATATCTTTGTTTGAGTATCACAGATTTCTGGCACACATTATTACGGTTGTCTGTACTTTAATATAGGTAAGTTCAGTCTGGAGCATATGCAAGAATCAGCAATACAGAAATAGAAACAAATGCAAAATGAACTACTATAGAATTTATTTTGTTATTTTATTCATTATTCTGTGGAATATTTTATATAGTAGTCTAATATAGTAACATAGCATCTGTAGTGTCCCAATCTCACAACTCTGAGATTAACTATAAATAAATACTACTTCAATCTAGGGTCTCATTTATTTCAACAGAATGTGTAGCCAAATAAACACACGTTGGGTTGCAACCTTACTTTCATAAAGCAGTTGGGATCTTTCCATACAGATGGGATCAGTTATAATCATTGGCCCCAAGCCTCAAAAAAGTCCAGCAAAAATGCTAACTTGGTCATACTTCTCTTCTATGCAGATGGTCGTCTTTTTCCATTTCCTTATAGTCTTGGAACATAAATTCAGTCCGATAGCTAATGCCTACTTTTAAAAATCCTAATAAAAAATAAGTTCAGGCAGCTTCTGCTATGTCACAGTCTCATCTACTAAAATATTTTTTTCCTTTGAGAGTCAATCTCTCTCTCTCTCTCTCTCTCTCTCTCTCTCTCTCTCACACACACACACACACACATACACACACACACACACACTCAGTCTCACACGCACATACCCCTATATTCTACCTAGATAATTTTCATTATTCTTATTTAGAAAAGTGTTTCACCTGCTCTTAAGAGTGTTGGTATCTGTTTTACTCTTCAAGCAATTTCCGATTATTTTAATGTATTGTCTTGCATCATATGTAGTATTAGTCAATACTATGAGAATTAAGTGTTCAGCAGAGTGATGGCCCAAGGGAAGAAACTGTCCCTGTGTCTAGTTGTTGTGGCATGCAGTGCCCTATAGCTGCATCCTGAGGAGAGGAGTTGAAATAGTTTATGTCCAGGTGGTGAAGCGTCTGTAGATACTTTCTCAGTGCTCCTTTTGACTGGCGCAATATTGGCACCTTCATATTATATAAGATTAAAGGCCTTTTTATCACCATATTCCTCACATTAAATAATATACATAATTTTTGGAAGCCCCCAATATGATATCAAACAACAGCAGATTTTTGAGGGAGGAGGTTTCTGATATTGGAGATAGTATGCAGTCATTGATACTTTTATCTTCATAAATCAGTTTAATTCCTTTTTGAATTCTTTCGTATTAGTAATCCTCTCCAAGTTTTATGCTGGTTAATTTATGAAATTTCTTATTTGGCTTATTAAAAGTGCTTTATTTTGTTTTTCCTGAGTCTTCAGTCTATCAGATTCATTATATAATTGAGATTTGTTGGATAATCCTTGGATGTCTCATTTTCCCCTACATTATGTATAGTTTTATAAATGTTTTTAAACTAAAATTCCCTAAATGTTTGGGACTTCCCATATAGGAAATTTCTTCAAATCTACTGTAGTTTTTCCAGTGTATGATATCCTTTAGTAGATGCAGCAAACAAAAGTGCATGTAGCATTTCAAGTGTAATTCTCTCTATATCTGTGCAGTTGTATGCAAAAATGTAGGCAGTTCTGCTCAAACTGTATGTTTTCAGGAGCCCCTAAATGAATATGACTTCTTTCTGCATAATTAAGTGCATACTTACTAGTTAGAGATTCATTGAAACAACGGAGACTATATAGAGGTTCACTGAAGCTTCTGATAAGAGGTACCCAAACATTTACATGCAATAGCACAGTTGCATTTGATTTAGAGATATTTTCTTTTTACACTTTTTACACAAAAGCACCTTAATGTAGGATTCCTTACCAAATATTCCTCAGCTGATTCTTACTTATTTTCCCTTGATTCATGTCTTTTGTATTATGTTTTTTTCCTTATTTTTTAAATAATTCTTTTAACAAGAACTTTCTATCTGTTTCAGAATTTTTTTTCCCTATTACCTCAATACTATTCCCAAAGTGCATGTCACTCTGTATTGCTAAAACAACTGCAAGTCTTTAGAAAGGCAGTAAAAGTCTGGCACTTTTCTTGAGAATTTGAGGTTAGGATGATCAGCACTTCTGCAATACATTTGAGCTCCATATCATCAGATTTTAAAAAAAAAAATACTTGCTTTAAATTGGTTCTTTTTATTTTATTTCAGAGGTTTTTGTCGTTGGTCAATTATGTTATCCAGAGTAAAATTGTTTGAATTGGGTGACCATTATAAACGCTTTAAATAAGATAAACTATCTGCAACACAAAAATGGCATTTTTTTCCTTCATTACTTGCTCTGTGTTAATTTTATCCAAGAAGTAAGCTTAAGCCTTGTGACTCAGGCAATAGCTTTAATTTAACAGTAGGGTATTAGCAAGTTTACAGCATTAGAAGGCCTTATCAATATTGCAGATAGCAGCAGGCACATTATACTAGCTGAAACTAATAGTCCAAAGATGTGTAACAGATATCATTTCTAAGTATAGCACATTATGACAAAATCCAAGTATTGTTTTAGGGTGAGGGTGGAGTTCAAAATCTAAATGTTGAGGAGTGTTGGGTGCTGGGATGCTTTGATGGTAGATTTATGTATGTATGTATGTATGTATATGTATGAATTTGTTTGTTTAATGTGTTATGGGCTGCCCATTTATGGTACATAAGATAAGATACATTTTAAATAAATGTATACATATATAAATGGCAGTTTGGGAGCATGCTAAAACTATCAACGTTTCCTCAGACAACCTTATGTAATAATTTCAAGATAAACTTTCTAAACCAGTGGTAGCGAACCTATGGCACGAGTGCCAGAGGCGGCACTTGGAGCCCTCTCTGTGGGCACGCACACCATCATCCCAGCCCTGCCTCCCATCACAGCCCCGTCCTCACCAGCAGCCCCCCCTGGAGGAGAGTCATCCCTGGGTGTGGCCTGCGCGGAGCAGCATAGCCAAGCACATGTCAGCTGGGCAGCAGATGATGCTGAGGGGCACGGGCAGAGGGTGTGGACACCATGGTGCTGCCGGGCCTCCTGGGCGATCTGCGGTGGGCTATGGATGGCCCTGAGGGTGGGCAGGATGAGGGTGGAGCAGGGCGGGTGGGCAGAGCGGGGGTGGGGCAGTTTTGGGGCACTCGGTCTCTAAAAGGTTTGCCATCACTGTTCTAGACAATAGCAAAAATGAATTTGATATTAAAGCTAGTCTGAGAGTAGTGCTAATAATGGCAACTATCTCCCCGAAACATAGTGGAAAAAACAATTACCGGTATAATTTTGTTTTGTTTTAATGGGTAAAACAAATAGGTATTTCCTAGTCCAAAACGCAGGAAGATATAGTCAGTTTTTTTAGAAAAGCAATGGAATTTGAATAAACAATGAATCTTTCGGGGGAAAGTTTGTCTTTTATATGTTATGATTTTTGGATGAGTTAATAATACAGATTTAAGAATAAAACAAACTTTAGAAATAGCTTAGAGTTGGGCGAATAAATGGTCCAGTTATTAGCAGTGTAAAGTATATGGTGTTTTTATAGCACTCTTCACCGAAAAATGTAAGATTTTCTCCTAGGTCAAACTGCCAAAACTGAATTAAGTATAGGGAGAAAATACTTTGAGAAAACAAAACAATTGCAAAACTATTTTCTTGGAGAAATCTGTCCAAATTTCAACAACAATGTTTCTATGAATGTATGTAGAATTCTTAATATTTGATGATAAAGGTAAGGTTGAGGGTTAGAGAAAATGTACAGATATTCATGCTCTTGGATCATTTTCTTTTTAAAGGAGTTTTCCAAGTCCACTCTAATTTGTTCATTTTATCTGCTAGGTCTACCAATCAGTACTTATGCCAGGTATTGTTACCGAAAGCTGCAAAAAGTAGCAATCACTGGAGGCAAAAAAGTGAGTAATTTGAAATATCCTAATTTAATTTAAATGAATACTTTTTTTCTTTTTCCTTTTTTGTCACTATAACTATTGAGATTGCTTTTATCAGCAATGAGAATAAATAGACTAAAAAGTACAGATGTACATTCTTATTGTACTACTATTAAGGGACTGAAAACAAAATCTGAAACATTTTACTGGATCTTCTTTATGGAAAAAATATGGAAGGAAAGAAAAGTAAATCTGAGAAGGACTATTAAATAAAATCAGGTTTGGGATTCTTTTAAATATGTTGAATAGACATGCTAAAATACTTTAGCAGTCAGAATTAACTTTGTATAAGATTTTGTATTGGTAACTACTAGCAATTAGTGTTGAAAGTATTGAGTCAGGGAGAGCAGTGTTTTGAATCAGAATCAGTATGTTGCAGCTAATTCTGTGGATGCTGCCATCAAGCTTGGAGTATGCATAAATGCATGCAAATTGCCTCTGACACAATCTATGATAACTCTTATTTTCAGAATATCTTAATGTTTTGATGGAATAATTGAACTCAACATGATATTGTATTTTTGGAAATACAGTAAAGATAAACAATATATGTCAAAAAGAGCTCTTTGAGTTAAAGTTAATTTGTCAAGTTCAAAAAGGCAAAAAAGCACTAGTTGAACAAAACAGAATGAACAAAACATCTAATTTCCTTTCAGCTTTTAAGAGGAAAAGAAAGGCATAAAACCAGTCTTGATGTAACATGAGAACTTTGAAAGAGCATTTATATATATTTCCATGCTAGCTAAAGTTAATTAAGTTCCCTGGTTAATGATATAAAAGCAGCAATGTGTTGGGTTACAAAGTAGAGTTTAGATTAGAGATCTGCACTTGCATATAATAAGATACTTCGGCTAAAATTGGACTGGTTGAACTTGTGACATACTGATTAAGATTTGCCCAAACTAATTACATATAGTCCTCATCATCGGTCATTTAACAACTGTTTGAATTTATGAATGATGTCAAAAAAGCTACTTATAGCTCAACCTTGAAGTTATGACTGCCACATATCCCCTGCAGTCATCTGATCTCCTTGCAGGCACTTAGCAACTTGAACATCCCATGGTCATGTGACCATGATTTGCAATGTTTGTTGCTGATTTCCGGCAAAAAAAAACCCAACCCCACTCACCCATTCGGAAAAATGGATTATTTTAACAACTATGTGATTTGCCTAATACACGGGTGTCAAACTTGCAAAGTCATGTGACTTGTGACATATTGCGACTTTTTTCCGATTGCTGGCAAGGGGGTGGGCGTGGTTTTAGCATGACATATCCAGCCCCCGGGCCAGCAGTTTGACACCCCTGCCCTAATAGTTGCAGTGATTGTCTTTGCATCTGTCATAAAAATGCTCAAAAATTGAGTCCAGTCATGTGGTGCCTCGAATTACGACCACAACAATTAGTCTATACTTTCTCCTCCTTACTGAAAAACATTAGCAATGTTAGACAGTAAAGATCAATTTATATGGCCCCATCATGTCGAGTGGAAGACTGACTTGAAATGTAAGAATAATAAATGATAAAGAGTAAGAATTAATTATAACAAAAAAAAAGACCTATGCTTATCTAGGAAACTAAGAGAAACAGAAGATCTGTATGAAAGTGCACTGATTTTATTTGTTATGATAGCTTATTTACCACTTTATTTCCAGAGACTCTGACCAGTTTACAGCATCCGTAGAATAAAATTAAAACAAAAAAAGAATCAGTACAGTAATACTCAGTTGGTCCAATTCCCTATTTGTGGGTATCATGAACTTACTTGTCTCTACATTGTCTAAAAAGGCAATAAACTGAGAATGGTTGAAATAGGGTTAAGCGTTCTGTTGTAGATGGTGCATAACTGAAGGAGCTAAGCTTGGCATTCCAAAGATGGCATTCCTCTGGTAATGAGACTGAGCAAACCCTCTCCCCAGATATTACTAGACAAGCAGATCCAACTCAGTAGTAGTAGTAGTAGTAGTAGTAGTAAAGTTGGAAGGGACCTTGGAGGTCATCTAGTCCAACCTTCTGCTCAGGCAGGAAACCCTATACCATTTCGGACAAATGGCTGTCCAGTCTCTTCTTAAAAACTTCCAGTGTTGGAGCATTCACCGCTTCTGGAGGCAGGTTGTTCCACTGGTTAATTGTTCTTACTGTCAGGAAGTTTCTCCTTAGTTCTAGGTTGCTTCTCTCCTTGCTTAGTTTCCACCCGTTGCGTCTTGTCCTGCCTTCAGATGCCTTGGAAAATAGCTTGACTCCCTCTTCTTTATGGCAGTCCCTGAGATATTGGAACACTGCTATCATGTCCCCCCTCGTCCTTCTCTTCATTAAACCAGACATACCCAATTCCAGCAGCCATTCCTTATATCTTTAGCCTCCAGTCCCCTAATCATCTTTGTTGCTCTTCTCTGTACTCTTTTCTAGAGTCTCAACATCTTTTTTACATCGCGGTGACCAAAACTGGATGCAGTGTTCCAGGTGTGGCCTTACCAAGGCATTGTAAAGTGGTATTAATACTTCATGTGATCTTGATTCTATCCCTCTGTTAATGCAGCCTAGCACTGTGTTGGCCTTTTTGGCAGCTGCAGCACTCTGCTGGCTCATATTTAGGTGATTGTCCACTAGGACTCCGAGGTCCCTCTCATAGTTACTACTATTGAGCAAGGTAACCCCTATACTGTACTTGTGTATTTGGTTTTTCTTGCCTAAATGTAAAACCTTGCTTTTTTCACCATTGAATTTCATTTTGTTAGATAGTGCCCAGTATTCAAGTCTGTCCAGATCCTTCTGTATCTTAAGCCTGTCTTCTGGAGTATTGGCTATTCCTGCCAGCTTGGTGTCATCTGCAAATTTGATAAGTTCCCCATCTATCTCCTCGTCCAAATCATTGATGAAGATGTTGAAGAGCACTGGGCCCAGAACAGAGCCCTGGGGCACCCCACTACACACTTCCCTCCATGTAGATGCGGTTCCATTGAGGACCACACGCTGAGTACGGCCGGTCAGCCAGCCACGGATCCATCTGGTGGTGATGCTGTCTACCCAACATTTTTCTATCTTGTCAAGTAGTAGGTTGTGATCTACTTTATCAAATGCCTTACTGAAGTCCAAGTAAATTATGTCCACAGCATCCTGTGATCCATTAATTTTGTCACTTGGGCAAAGAATGCAATAAGATTTGTCTGGTGTGATCTATTTTTGACAAACCCATGTTGGCTTTTAGTAATGACTTTGTTTGCCTCTAAGTGTTCGCTGATTCGTTGTTTGATTATCTTTTCCAGGATCTTCCCAGGTATTGAGGTCAGGCTGATAAGTCTGTAATTTCCTGGGTCCATTTTTCTCCTTTTTTATAGATGGGAACTACATCAGCTCTTTTCCAGTTCTCTGGTAGTTCCCCTGTGCTCCAGGATCTTTGAAAAATATAGTTCAATGGTTCTGAGATCACATCTGCCAGTTCCTTGAGAACCTTGGGGTGTAATCCATCTGGTCCTGGTGATTTAAACTCATCTAGGGTGGACAGATGCTCACTTACCATTTTCTTGCCTACCTTAACTTGTGTTTCTAATCTGTTTTTTACAGGACTGTTTTTGATAGGTTGGACTGTTTTTTCCCTTTGCATAAAGACAGATGCAAAAAAAACGAGTTAAGTAGTTCTGCTTTCTCCCTGTTGCTTGTCACCTTCTTGCCATTTTCTCCTACTAATGGACCAATCATTTCTTTAAACTTTTTCTTGTTTTTTACATGTTGAAAAAAGCTTTTTTTTTGTTATTTTTGACTTTGGTCACAAGCCTTAGTTCATGTTGAGCCTTGGCTTTCCTCACTTCATCTTTGGAGGCTCGGGCTATTTGCTGATATTCTGACTTAGATATGTGCCCCTCTTTCCATTTTCTATACTTGTCCTTTTAATGTTTCAATTTGTCAGAGAGTTCTTTATGCAGCCATGCTGGTTTCTTTTGAGAACTGTTATTTTTCCTCTTTGTTGGTATTGTTCTAGACTGGGCTTTTATTATCTCATTTTTCAAAATTTCCCAAGCTTCTTGAGTTGTTTTCCCCTTGAGGATTCTCATCCATGGAATCCTTCCCAAGCCCTCTCTTAAGTTTATTGAAATTAGCTCTCTTGAAGCCCAAGACTCTAGTTTGACTGTGTTCTATTGCTTGTGCTTCCATAATGTTGAATTCTAATATTGCATGATCACTTCCTCCCAGGGTTCCTATGTCTTCAACACCTTCTATCATTTCATCTCTGTTAGTGAGAATTAGATCCAAAATGGCTAATCCCCTAGTTCCCTTCTCTACTTTTTGGGAGACAAAGTTGTCTGCTAGGTTTGCCAGGAACCTGTTTAATCTTCCACTTGGTGCAGAGTTTGTCTCCCAGTTGATGTCAGGGTAGTTAAAGTTCCCCATTACTATTGTGATGTGCTTCCTACATATCTTAGTTAGCCGACTAGCAAAAAGTTCATCTATTTCCTCTGGTTGGGTGGCCTGTAGTATAACCTATGGCAATGTCATTCCCCCCCCCCCTTTTTATATTGACCCAAATGCATTCAAGACAGTTTTTATCATCGTTGTGCTCTATTTCTGTAGAGATGTAGTTATTTCTTATATAGAGAGCAACTCCACCTCCTCTTTTATTTGGTCTGTTTCTTTTAAATAATTTAAATCCCTCTAGCTGTGTGTTCCATGTGTGGGTTTCATCCCACCATGTTTCCGTAATGGTAACAATATCATATCTGCCCTCATTAACCTGAATTTCTAGTTCACCCTGTTTGCTGTTCATACTCTGTGCGTTGGTGTATAGATATTTGAGTCTTTTATGACCGGCCCTGTGTTTACTTTCTACATAACTTATGTGGTGCCTGAGTTCCCCTATTGTCTTACCACCTATTTGGTTAGTGCACTTTGTGCGGCACTCGCTATTAGAGTTTGATTTTGCTTGACAGCAAGGTTGGTATTCTTGTCCACACACACATCTATGTT